CGACTCCCTGGTTGGGGTCCGAGAGACGGTGTAACGCAGTGGCTAGAGACGTTATCAGATATGGCTAAGAATAGAAGCCAGTGGCGATCGTGCTGTAACCTCTTACTTTCTTCATAAAAAGTGTTTATATCTTCCTTAACTGAAAGATCTCTTCTGATTGTACCTCTCCGTTTCCCCCACCATTGTTCTCTCTCTCTCCCTTTTTTTTTATAATTCCCCACGTTCATTACTTTTTTTTTCTCTTTTCTCCTTCTCTTCAAATTATCATTGTTTTGTGTGGCGCATATATATTTGGTGCCTCTCTGTACCAATATTTATGTGTTCAAATAAATAAATAAAATAAATAATTGCATCCTAGCTATCCACTGTATCCCGTGCTTCCCTTCAGATGTTGATATCTTCATGATCCAGTCGATCACCAGGAGAAAGAGAAAGGGTGAGAGTAAGCAACCTTGCCTGACACCGGTCTTTACTTCGAACGACTTTGTCAACTGTCCTCCATGAACGATTTTGCAGTTTAATCCATCGTAGGAATTCTGTATGATATTGACTATCTTCTGAGGCACGCCGTAGTGTCGAAGAAGCTTCCATAGGGTTGTTCTGTCCACGCTATCAAATGCTTTTTCGTAGTCGATGAAGTTGATATAGAGTGATGAATTCCATTCAATTGATTGTTCCACAATGATCCGTAGAGTTGCGATTTGGTCTGTGCACGATCTATCCTGCCTGTTGGTCTCGAAGTTGTGCGTCTACGGAGTCCTTCATCCTGTTTAACAATACCCTGTTGAAGACTTTTCCTGGTATTGAAAGAAGACTGATTCCCCTGTAGTTGTCACAGTTACTGAGATCGCCTTTCTTTGGTATTTTGACTAGAAGTCCTTCTTTCCAGTCTTTTGGTACCTGTTCCTCATCCCAGATCTTTCTGAAGAGGGTTTGGAGTGTCCTTGCAGTTACCGCCACGTCTGCTTTCAGTGCCTTTGCTGGAATGCTGTCTAGTCCTGCTGCTTTGCCACTCTTGATTTGTCTGATAGCCATGCTGATTTCTTCAATTTAAGGAAAAGGCTAATCTGTAAAAAATAGTCAACTGTTGTTTTAAGCTCCGTAAAATGGCACAAAATTTTCTGTTTTAATCTGAAAGAGAAGAAATTGTGAGGAATATATCTTAAAATCGGCTGATGTAGTGCCAATACATCAATTCCTTATACCCGCCTTAGTTTTGAGCATATCTTCACACTCCTTCTACTTACTATTTAAGTTGTTTCTTTTGACTTGATCCTCTCAATTCGCGACTGTTGTTAATATTCCTATTTTTCTGTTTGTATGTCTATTCGTTTCACTTTCTCTGTCTTAATTTAAATCTGAGAAAATTCTGAAAGTTCATGGTTTTGTTATCTAAAATGTTCAAAAGAAAATGAGATTTCTCAACATTTTAATTTCGTACAATTTCAACTTATGTTTTGTATTTATATAAATAAGATCAACCTCTAAGAAAATGATTAAAGCAACCATTACCTCTTGTACTACCTACATAACAAAGTTATATAGGAACAAGAATCGAAAAACCTCGTAGAACACTACCCGAATTAACCACGTAGAATGGTAACATAGCTAAAGCTATATAATGCAACACATTTACTAAGTACTTGTTTGTGTTTGACTTGGAGTCTTTGTTTATGTAGTATCTAGTAGTATTACCATGTTGCCCACACCTAAGTAGATAGAAATGCACTTCAAAGTGAGGCAAAGAATAAACCTACTGATGAAACTTCCTCGACTAGATCTAAAGCGTGTCTGATTTTCACAGATTTCTCGGATTCAGTTCTGATAGCCATGATAACTTAGTAGGTGACTTACTACTTCATTCATCCGAATTTTTCAGTTTTTATGCCATCTTTACCTTTGTTTTTGTTTATAAACTGTAACAATCGGCACTGTGGATCGCTTAGATGTAGCTGTTTGACTACCGAACTGTAACTAATGTATCAATCGTCGTAATAACAAAACTTGGAAGATTACTCTGGGCTTTTAGAATTAATTCATCGATGACTACTTCTATCTTGCGCCTCATAAGTTAACGCTCCCAAAATTCACTGATATTTAGAGCCCATACATCAGTCCAGCTTTCAGGGTGCTGGTAGTAGATAATTAAAGCTAGCTGAATGGTTCCCCGAAGTGTCCTGTACTTTTATAACAACCTTGATTTCGCTTGCCCATTAGTCCTTCATCAATTTGAAGAGAGAGAAACCTGACTTTAAATATCCTACGGTCTCGATGTGCTAAGTCACCTAGTTCAATCCTGACACTTGTAACCCATGATTTTGGTTTGTGACTGAACACCTTCGAGGGCAGATAAAAGTAGAACCATCCTATCACTGACCAGTGACCTGACTGGTTGCCAAGGATAAAAATTAACTATAGCCCGATTTACTTGACTCTCTTAATTCAAAAAAGGTACATGAACAAACAGGTGAATAACTGGGCCACAACGCCAATGAGGGAGAACAGTACAATAATGCAGAAACAACATAAAAGTATCTTGTTTAAATTGCAATAATCTTGTAATGGTAGGTAATATAACACTAATTTGTAGGTTAAGGGAAATCCTATGATGGGTAGAATAAATTAGGCACATAATTAAGTGTTTGTAATTTACAGATTTCGAGTTGAGTGAAACAATACCCTCAGAAATAACTCACTGTTTGTCATTTCTCCTTCATTGTTCTCTTCACTTCGTTCCTATTGCGATTCATCTGGATCTATCTCTGTGTGTGTGTGTGATTATCTCACTACCAACCTCTTAATCAGTTAAGATAACTGTTCACTTCTACATGTAACTGGTACTGTTGTCCTTACCTATTAATCTTACTGTCAACTACTGATGAGCACAGAAAAATCTTACCAACATATATTCCTACAACCTTCATATTGCAGAGCATTCGGAGTTTTCAAATATTCCCGATTTCGGTCTTTGACCTTACAAATCTACTGTTATAATTACCACATCATATTCTCTGACTATTAACAGGCAAAGAATATCAAAAATACGCTTTGTTTGATAATCACAAAATGACTTGTTTGTATATAAACAAGACCAGCCAAATCTAAGGTGGAATGATACTGTTTTAACTGGTTGGGATAAGATTTATATCAGTAGTTATTAACTACAAATTTGAACAATTCAACCAATTATCCATACAATTTATCATTAACCAAGTGTGGTTAGTGATTATTGCCTGCATAGAAACTTCATGTTATTTAGTGATTTTGACAACACTAAATTAACAAACATTCATTTACTGTATTTAACCTTGACCTTCATTTTTTGTTTTCCTGCCAAACCTTAATCGTCTTTCCCGTTTGATCATTGATTAATTTATTAAATATGCATTTTATGGAAGGGTTAGTGTCATTAACCCACTGTTTAAATCATGATAAATACGGAGGGGCACGAATCTAGTACCTATTGAGAAGGCAACTTGTTCAATCACCAAACCATCTGTGTACATTAAAAGATCACCTCCTGGTTCTTTCAAATAGTTTATGATAGTAACTTGAGTACATTAGTGTTTGTGCCGTCGTAGGTGGACAGCATAAATATCGCTCGGAACATTATTACTTCCTGGGCGTAAAATTCATCCAAAATCAGTCAGTCAGCTACATCGTAGGACCAGGCACATATATGCATCGGTCCAAGTTGCCATACCGCATTAGCAAAGCAAGATGAACACTGGATTCATAGAAGTAGTTAATTGAATGGTAATATATGAAAGAAAGATTGCATTTAAGGATATAGTACAGGAAGAAAGAATTAGTTGATAGAAAGAACGATATGAAGCGATTTTAGTCTCATAGTTTAAGGGAAAACAGAGAGCAGTAATGGTTTTCTTTGTGCAGCATTTGTGACATTGTGTGACTCTGTATAATAGTTACGTTTTCTTTCTGGTCATAGTTTACTAGAATATTCTTTATTATCTACTTCCTTTCATTGTATACTTAGGGGATCTTCGGCAGATTATCTCTTGAACATTTGTTTTCACCACAAAATTTCCATGATGGCCAGATTATATGTTGCATTAAATAGCTTATTTTTAATAGTTGAAGACCACTCAATTAAGAGACCTATAAACTGAAGACATGAATGATAATAGTAACATGATTCATTTACTAAGTACAAATTTCTTTGCTTAATTTTAAGCCGCATGGTTTTTGTGTGAGGGTTAGTGTTTCTATCTAGCTATTCTAACTGACGTCGATAGTGTTTGATTTCGAACCTGTTACGTATTGGCTAAAAGACAATTATATTTCAGCCACTTATGAACCGCTCTCCACAAGACAGTGCCCCAATATGTACTATACATTAAAGTTGTTGTTACATCTTTCAGCGATTAAAGTAGCACCAAACAAATATGCGCCAGAGTTCGTCATTCGATTTGTGTGAGGGCTGGGATACTGCCCGGGTGCCTAAACCGAAGCAGGTGGTTTTCTTAGAGCCACACCCGGAGCCTTTGACCTGAAGGTCTAATCCACAAGACAGTCGAGCAACGTCAGAAGATGCAGTCCCATGTTGGCCGGTGACCAACAATTGGTTCATACGCCATTTGTTCTTTCAGGATCTTGCAGCTCATGTGAACCAATGATTTGGGATCAGGGTTTCCTAACTTCCCTAAGTAGATTCTCCATATCCACCAACCCGGTTAAAGCGCCAGACATTCGCTTTCTGTCCTCTGAATTTCGTAAAGAACACGCCCTCCGCGAGAAGGCAGTGAGTAGGACTTCCCTGTCAGTGATTGTTTACGCGTGGTCGTCTGAAAGCATTTCGGGACGGAGAGTGGATTCTCCCCACTCTCGACGGTACGGTACATAAATCCATTGATTTGTGTGGCGTATATATATTTTGATGTCTCATTGTGCCAATGTTAATGTGTTTAAATGAATGAAGACTTATATATATATATACATAAATCCAGCTATAAATCCTCAAATTTCAAATGAATTTATAGGCTACTCAACGAGCTGTTCGTGCAGAAGAAGAATCTGAAAATCTAGCCGGTGAATTAACAATTCTAGAAGGTTAGTAAAATATACTTATGGATAAATTTCAGTTCATATATAATACTCACGTTTATTTACATTATTTTCACAGTCGAGATCATAAACTGATCTTAAATATATTATTACCACCAAATTTTATTATTATATCCATTGTTTGTATTCATTTAAGGAGAGGCAAGACAATTTGATGAAGAAAATTTTCGCTGAGACTATAATTTATAGATGACTTTTGAATGATGCTAAATTAACTTTGAAAGTATCCACCTAGTAACTAGGTCTAAATAAGGATTATAAACCAGTGTAGGGAATTAGATTTTAGGTTTTCGTCATGAACTGACATCAACTTGAATTTCAAAACTCTATGGATGAGTGGATTTCGCGCGAAAATCCGAGACCTTGTTATGTTATAGCTGATTGGTTCTCTCATAAATTATAGTCTCGCTCAATTTTCTTTTTAATGATATCGTTTATGAAAACTGTAAAATCGTATTTATAGTTAATTACTTACACCTGTTTCTCCTCGTGAAGGAGCATAGGCCGGTCATCAGCATTCTCCATCCAACCTTGTCCTGGGTAATCTTTTCCAGCTCTTTCCAGTTGTTATTCATCCTTTTCTTATCTGCTTCTATTTCCCGACGTAATGTGTTCTTTGGCCTTTATAGTTAATATACAAATAAAATTGTCTATTGAGGATGATCACATCACACCATGTGTCAAAGAAAATTGCTTAATAATCGAGAATTAAGGAGAGGTTATAATATTAAATCAATTGTCATTTGGATCATTGTCTACTTGACGAATATGAAAAGGGTGAAAAATCAATCAAAAACATGAAGGTGATAATAACGAATCATTAAAATTAGGAATATTAAAAGCATTGAAAAGATGTAATAAGATCAAATTACCGTTTATGAAAATAAAGTTCATACAGAGTTTGGGTTTGAAAATGTGGGCTGCTAGCGCCTCTGGATTGCTCCTTTTGAATGTAATCGTCGACCTGTATGAATGATTTTACAGGACTTATCAGGTACGGCTATGTGGCCGAAGTTCAAAAGATGTTCCTCTATTGAACTGTTGATGAATTTACATTCATTTTTCGGAAAGTCACACAGGTTAACATTTAGAGATGCTCTTAGAAAGCATTCTCTTTGTGTGACCTATGTAATCTACTCCACAAGAACAGGTGAACTTATAAACACATACATTCATTGTTGTTGTACTGATTGGTTATTGAACTATTACTCTTTCCATTATTTACCTAGACAAATACAATTATATCAAATTGGTATATTTCAGTTATCAATAAAACAAAACTGATGGGTTGTTTTTTTGATATGAATAAACTCAACTGTGATTTATAGTTATATAACTTTTATTTCGCTGTCTAGTTGATTACTAGTATTCCATCAGTCAGTCAGTAACAACGTGGAACTTCGTACGTACCGACATCAGTTCGAGTTGCCATACCACATTAGCACAGAGATGCTGTTGTCGATTCAAATCCCGTAGTGGTAGAGGTAGTGAAAGTATAAGTATTAGTCGGGAACATTAGGGTTTGATGATGTTATCCAAGGAGTATAATCGAGTGGAATAAATTTGGAAAGAAAATAAAGGACATGAAGAATTCATAAGATTAGAATTTTGGATAACAGAAAGAGTGGATGCACCTGCGTCATTGCAAACGATTTTGAGTCATGTCATTCAAGATCTCTTACCATTGGTTGTTATCATCTCGCGGATTCCAACCTGGTAGTTTACACTTACCAACATGTCTCAGTCCACTTGTCAGTGACTTCATGGATTTGTGCCATTTTGTGGTCTGGACGCCCCTAAATTTCTTCCAACCTACTCTTACACCAGAAAACATCTCACGTCGGCGCAGTCGGTGGTTGGGTATACGTAACACATGTCCCAGCCATCTCAACTGATCAACTTTCACCACTTCATCAATTGACTTACCATCCCTACTTAGTACCCGTTTCCTAACAACTGAGTTGCTTACTCGGTGGTCCCGGGATATACGAGCAACGTTTCGAAGACACCTATGATCAAATACTAATAACCTACGAATATCCTCTACTCTTGCCGGCCATGTTTCACTGCCATAAACTAATATTGGTTGATTATCGTACTGAATTGTTTCTTTGTAAGTTTGTCAACAATCATAAGCAACGTAGGATCTAGAAGATATGTGGGTCGATTCAAGTGACTAAATCATCAGCACAGAGCGAATAAAATTATCAAGACAAATGCTGGATAGAGTAGTATATATAGTAACATACAATATGCTTTCAGAAAAAGAATGAATTTGTTGAATGAGAACGAAGTATAAGTTAATTTTGAAAATTAGAATTTAAGGGATTATTTTATTTATTTTAACACATAGGTATTGGTACAAGGAGGCACCAAATACATATGCGCCACACGAATCTCAATTTATTTGTGTGAGGGCTGTGATACTGCCCGGGTGCCCAAACCGAAGCAGGTGGTTTTCTTAGGGGGCCACATCCCGAGCCTTTGACCTGAACGTCTGACCCACAAGGCAGTGGAGCATCGTAAGGAAATGCAGTCCCATGGTAGCCGGTGACCAACGATTGGTTCATACGCCATTTGTTCCTTCAGGACACTGGAGCCCATGTGCACCATTGGTTTGTGATCCGGTTAAAGCGCCGGACATTCGCTTTTCGTCCTCTCATTTTCGTAAACAACACCCCCGCCACGTGAAGGCAGTGAGTAGGACTTCCCTGGCAGAGGCTATATACGCGTGGCCATGTGAGAGCATTTCGAGAGGGAGAGCGGACTCTCCCCACTCTCGGCCGTACCAGGGCATTTGGGGGCAAAGAATTTAAGGGAAGATAGAAAGTAAATTCGTCTGTGGATTGTGACTGATTCCGAACTATTTTATCCCAAACCATTGGTCAGAGTAATCATGTTAACCACAACCAAGTAGTCAGCATCTGCTGACATGAATCAGTTCAATAGTCAATGACTTTATGGAATGATGACACGTTCTGGTTTGCTCACTTTTTTCTTTAACTGACTCGTACATCAACAAATATTGGTTATCAAGGTAGACGATGTCGGTAGTTTTCAGTGATTAGTTTTATTTGAAGATGATCTATGTCATGTATCGATCCTAGCTTTGAATCCATTGAACACTATAGGGCACAATAGCTATTTTGTTTTTACTACCAATGTTTAGACACCTTAACTAATGCATATTAATGATCTTTGTAGACGAACAATTTTCAAACCACATTTTCAATTTTAATTAGTACACTTAGTATTGCGTAACCATCATCAATTATGACCACTTCGTTTCAGACATTATTGGACTCTATCAATTATTATTATATAGTTAATGGTAAGAAGAGTTCTGTATTCCGTACTAGAACTTGAAACAACTAGTTATGTTTAGTTGTTTAGAGAATCCTGATCAGTGGCCTATACTCCTCTAGGCCTAAGTAACTAAGTGAGTATGTTGTGCCCAAGCCCTCGTGCGTTTTAAATAGTTCCCTACTTGATGTCGTCATTTCATGACAATGTTTCATCCTTGTACCATGATTTAATTGGTAGAGCTTAGTATTTAATAACATAGATAGTTATCAAGTTTCTCACAAATTTTGTTTACTTATTGATTAAGATGATGTTACACTATTATTGTTTAAGTAAGAGAAATAGAGGAACAATTGTCTCTATTCATATTCTTTCTTTTTAATTTTAATCTTTTAGACGAAGCAAATGAATGGAATGAGAAATCAATTAATGTTCAAGAACAAATTAATATGGTTCGAACCACTATCAGTGAAGCTTAATTACTGTCTACTACTACAACTACAACTACAACTATTGGGTATAACTCTCCCACCCTTTACAACATCGTTTCGTTCCTATGCGCTGTTGTTAGGACATTTTAATTGATTTTTTTTGGAGTTAATTTAGTGTTTTTTTCTTTTTGGATTTCGCTACTGATTTTTTTCTTATTTTTCTTTTTTCTTGTTCGCGCAAAATTTTATGTTGTATTTTTCTTTCTGTCTTCATTGAATACTTAATACTACTATTATTATTACTATTATTAGAAATGTAATTCGGTGCATTCAGAATGGTGTATACATATTCACATTCCTTGAATTATAAGTGACTCAATTAATTTTGTTTAAAGCACTATTAGTATTGATTTCAATATACACAAAGATATACACATTCTTGTTCTTCTTTTGTTCCGCAAAAAAGGTGCTTTTTAATTTTGTTGTTGTTGTTGTTTGTTTGTTTGTTTCTTGTTCTTGAAAGATTGTTTTCATTGTCACTTTGTTTGTTTTCACAACATTTTAGGCCTTTGTTCAAGTAATAAGTAATAAATCTATTTAAACAATATTGATAACAATATAAAAAGAAGCTTATATTGAATTAAGTGTTTTGTAATTATTTCATATTATAGTTAGTAGATATTACTTACTTATGCCTGTTACTCCCAATGGAGCATAGGCCACCGATCAGCATTCTCCAACTCATTCTGTCCTGGGCCTTCTTTTCTAGTTCCATCCAATTCTTGTTCATTTTTCTCATGCCTATCTCCATTTCTCAGCGTAATGTGTTCTTTGGTCTTCCTCTTTTCTTTTGACCTTGAGGATTCCATGTGAGGGCTTGTCTTGTGACACAGTTCGGTGCTTTCTTCAATATGTATCCTATCCACTTCCAGCGTTTCTTCCTCCACTGGGATCTGATTTGTTCTCTTCCACAGTAGGTTGTTGCTAATAGTGTCTGGCCAACGGATCCGAAGTATTTTGTGTAGACAACTGTTAATAAACACCTGTATCTTTTGGACGATGGCTTTCGTGGTTTTCCAGGTTTCTGCCCCATACAGTAGAACTGTCTTCACATTTGTATTGAAAATTCTGACTTTGGTGTTGTTTGCCAATTTTTTTGAGTTCCAGATGTTCTTCAGTTGTAAATAGGCTGCTCTTGCTTTACCGATCCATGCCTCCTCATCTACATCAGATCCACCGTGTTCATCGATGATGCTGCCCAAATATGTAAAGTTTTGTACATCTTCCAAATCTTCTCTGTCAATTGTGATTGGATTGTTGCATGTTGTGTTGTATCGGAGAATCTTACTTTTCCCTTTGTGTATATTGAGACCTATTGCTGCTACACTGGTCGTCTTCTCCTGCATTTGTTGTTGTGTGTGCGAGTTAGTAGATATACTCATATGTTTATCATTACTGTTTCTTTTGACTGCACTCCATTGAATATTGTTAATTAGTGGAAAGTGAGTTGTTTAGGAAGTAACATTTTTGGGACTTGTCGGCTGAATGTAACGACATTCCAGAGTTGATGTGCACTTCGAGAATCGAATCCAGTACCGTTCTCTTCAAATGCCATCACGTTATCCATTTAGCTACTTTGTCTTGATAGCCACTTGCTTGTGCAATGGGGGTGAAGTTTAAATTCATTTGGTATTGTTTGTTTGAATTTTCCCATTGATGTTTAACACTGTAATTGATCAGTCTCTTATTGGCATATGTGCATCCTATGAGGATTTCCTCCATATTGTTTATAATGTTTATGAATTAAGGCCATCTGCACAGCATGCACATATGAAAAACTGATCAATTACAGTGCTAAACATCAATGGAAAAATTGAAACAAACAAACCCAATCAATTTAAACTTCTGTTATACTTTGTGATGCACGCGCGGATTAGAGGGCAGTGAATTATCGATCGGACCAAAGACGCGTAAAACACGTAAGAACAGCCTAGAGTTCTGATTGGCCCTGCTTCCCTGTCTAGCCCAGCCAGTTGAGTCCAGAACACATGTCTCAAACTCTGCGATATGAATCACTATATTTCAAACATACTCTGTTTATATAGCAATCAAACAGACCACAACGTACCATAAAATAGAAAATAACATTTGTGCAAGATCTGACCAACAGAAAAATAACACGTTGGATAAATATTGACCAATAGGGATATGACACCATTTCTCATTCAGCGAATGCATTAGGTAATTTCTGGGGTATTTTTCTGAATACCCCAACAACTTCACCTCCATTGCACAAGCATGTGGCTATTAGGACTCCAGTAACTAAGTGGATAACATGATGGCGTTTGAAGCGAAAGGTACTGGGTTCGAGTCCTGAGGTGAACATCAACTCTGTGATGCCGATACATCCAGATGACAAGTCCCAAATAGAACAAAACGCGCGTCCTGGATTCCACTGGGAGCCACTAATCATCTTTCCTCATTTTAAGCTATTGCCGTAGGGGGATAACCATTCTTTTTCAATGTTCAATGAATGTCAATATCTAGCATTTTCAAACACTTTTCGTTTAGTGAGTCAGTGCCTCGTATGAGAGCCTGATATTTACAAGGGATTTCATTCTATTCACCTAAAGTTATCTATATATGTATTCCATAAACATGACACTGTAGCGCATCCCCAGTTGCTGGATGAAAAAGTAAATAAAGTGAAAGTTAGAGGTCGAAATGAAATCCTGAATGAGAATCATGCTATCAGATACATCATTGACTCACTAATTAAAGAGAAAAATACTTCATACCGCTCACATATTGAACAACGAGAAGTGGATACATCACAAAATCACGGATACATATTGTATCCAAATGAGGTAAACGCGAGTTAATCTGAGTTTTGCTTCATACTGATAATTAGTGTATACAGTTTCATTAATTAATGTATTCTGCTGATTGGATTAAAGTCATCATGAATCATTCATTCATTTTTCTATTGTAATTTTGGGTTTACTTCATGATGTATTCAAGTAAAAGGGGGGGGATGGAAGTTTCACTTCATAAAAAATCTTCCCATTTTATTGGTCAGATGTTGTCTTCTAACATTCACATTGTTCCATGTGATATAAATTACTGAAAGTAACAATTGTATTTGTTGTCTATTCAAGTTTTATTACTGAAAACCTGTTTTTACTATGATACTGAATCCATTCGACCATTTGATTGAGATACATGTAATTCTTTAGATAGTCAACTTAAATCAATATCTAGACGAATATGATTAACAATATACTTGTATTGATTATCTTCTTTAAAGTACACCTGATAAATGGTGAAGAATATTGCTATGACAATTTATTCTTAGTCTTTTTTTTATTTTTACCTGAGTAACAAAACTCACCTCAATATGGTGTCATGTTGGTAAACGGCACAGCTTTCTATTTAGGTGTCGTCTATACAAGTGTTTAGCTTTCATGTTAACTTTATTTGATCTGTTCAAACAGTGATTAGTTAAGTTCGTATTAGTGTGATACTGGTTCTATGTAAATTATAAACAAGCAATCAGTGATAGGTTTGAAGCTATCACGAGTTCACTTAATCTGCGAACAAGAACAAAGACTCGGTGACCAAAGACCAATAAGCTAGATATTCTGATGCGTCCCAGCCCTGCTAACTAGAGGAAGAATTCCAAGCTTAGAATAGGGAAGTATATTCTGCAAACAGCCAGAAACGAGCGATCACAACAAATACAAATCAAAACGTATATATACAGCACAAAACCTTCCTTGGAGAGAGTTACCAAATAGCATACTAAAAGACGCAATGGACCAATAGCATTTAAGATATTTCCCAAATGGGAAATACAACATGAAGTTGACAAGACTGCTTTTGGCGCGAAAACAAAGAAATTCAAATTTTCTAAATAAAATTACAAAATTACGTACTTTTGCAAGTAAGTTCTGGGGATCTAACGTCCCCAACAGTCAGTCATCAGTATCAACTTAGGACTTGACATGGAACATACTTTATATCACCATTATAGAATCGAACGGAAGACTAAGATATTGTGGCGGTAAATACCTGTGGCATCTTCAATATAAACAATGGAAACGTAAGCATGTGTGGTACAGTTAAAGATGTAATAAATGAGATTGAATAGGCGGGAATAACGTTTAAATTAGAGAGTAAATGTGAAATTACGCCACTAAAAATGACCATAGAAAATATTATCCATGTTACTTCAAACATTGACTAGGAGCACTGCGCGATCTCCAACTAAAAAAAACCATACCTTACAAAATAACAAAAATAATTGGTCAGATGACCACCTAGATAGGGTCCCATATAAGGTACCTGGAGTCATTCGAAAAGAAGTCCTAGGACTATGTTTCACTCTAGTTGACAGTTGTCAACAGAGGGTACCTGCCGTCTGATATGATGGGAAGAAAAATCAATATTCAATTGATTTACTTAATATGAGTTTTATTCATCATTACATTCTTTTGATTCAATGTAATGATTACGCAATGTGGTTTTTGCTTTCTTTTCTCGTATGATATTTTATTCTGTATAATATACAATATTCTTGTATTCCATTGACTATGAACTATACTCAGCATATGATTTGTTATAACTGTGAGTATTTTTCATGTATGTGGTTTCTTCCTAATTAATAATCAAAACGAGTGTACAATCAATATATAAACGAGTGTATTTTCTACTAAGCTCTCTAATTTCTCTGGTTGCGGCAGAATACACTTCGCATTTCAAGCTTGGACTTCTCCCTCTAGATAGCGGGGCTGGGGCGCAGCAATAGCTAGCTTACTGGTCGTTGATCACCGAATCTCGTTCTCATACGCAGACTACGTGAACCCGTGACAGCCATCAACCTAACACCGTCATGGGGAACTGACGCCTTATGTGGGGATCGAACCAGGGCACAGTCTTAGGCTTTACCTCTGGTCTACTTAGATCATGTCTGACCCGCACTCTTAAGATGTCTACAATAGATTAGTAACTGAGTAGCGGCATCTGTTAGGTTTTACTACTTCGATCCTGGTCGAATTGCATCGATAAAGCTCCAATGAGACACGAGTGGCAAAGTGATGTTTTCTAACCTTTGGACAGATAGACTATTTTAAACGTTCTTGACCTTGCCAATTACTGACATGTAACCTTGAGCATGTTTTGTACATATGTTGAAAATTAATTGATCATACGTATGAACTACAATAAAATACCTTTTTGAACTGTACATCTTTTATCATGAATCTTAGATCGCTTTTTAGTAAATTTCACCAATATAATGCAGTATCAGTATTGGGGTTTTTTGACTGAGATCATGAACTGATTGATGTTAGACCGCCGTTGGAAACCTGCAAGAAATGGACGACCGTTTCATTCTAGTATGGAACCCCTCAGCACTGCGCATCCACGATCCCGCTCGAGGGATTCGAACCCATGGCCTTCAGTCTCGCGCGCGAACGCTGAGCCGGCATCCAATGGTGTTAGTTTCTAACTGACTGAAGGCCATGGGCTCGAATCCCGCGAGCGGGATCGTAGATGCGCATTGCTGGGGAGTCCCATACTAGAACGAAATGGCCATGCAATGCTTCCAGATTTCCAACGGTGGTCTAACATCAATCAGTTCATGATCTCAATCAAAAAAAAAAATAATAAATGCAGTAGTTGACAAAACTAGTTATTATTATCATTAGAAATGTTTTCAGTTACACAGATAGTACAGTTTTAGATTATCATATGAGTTATAAATAAGTATCAATCCCTTTGAAATACAATAATATATTCACATTAAGTATCATTTGTAAAACATACTCCAACTTGATTCCATACCGAAATTACATCAGTGTTACAGTAAAATCAATAAAGTAAATAGTGAGTGTGTGTGTGTGTGTGAGAGAGAGAGAATACACTAACATAAAATAAAACTCTATTGAAGTTATTATATTCTAACAAATAACCATAATGATTATTAAACATCTATCTATATAATGAAATCAATTATTCATTATAATAATCTAGTTGAACATGTTCATAATATAATGGATAACAGCTTAAATAAGACTGAATACAATACTGATCTGATTGTCAAACAAATGCATTTCTATTACTATGAATTAACATTTATGTATTTTTAAAGATATAAGAAGGAAGAAATCTGAAATTCTAATTAAAATGATAAATAAAGAAGTCAAAAAATGAAGCTATAAAAGACAACACATTGTAAAATATCACATAAATAATTCATGCTACTTAATTATGATAATAAGTAATATAAATAAAGTGAAGTGTATTTTTTTTCGGGAAAATTTGAAAATGATAATTTTTTTGGAGGGAAAATATTTTAAGATAAATACCAGTTTAAGTTTAAATTTTTTTGGACAATATAGATTGACTTTTTGGTGTTAATGAAGGTATTGGTATATTATTATCATGAAGTAATTGTTCCAATTCATGAATACGTTTCAATGAAATATTTTGAGCTTCTTTTAATAATTTCATATTTCTTTCATGTGTAGCAGTCACAGAAACAATGATAGCTAAAAGAAGAGAGACGGTGTATTCATATAAAAGAAAATAGAAAATTTGTACCTACAATTTTAAAAGAATTGATAATATATGGATCACAAGTTGTCATCGATTAAGATGTTTTTGATTGAGATCACTAAACGATTGATGTTAGACCATCGTTGAACACCTGGGAGTAGTGAATGGTTGTTTCGTCCTATTGTGGGACTCATCAGCAGTGTGAATCCACAATCCCGCTCGAGGGATTCGAACCCATCGCCTGCAGTGTCGCGCGCGAACACAACATTTTAACTACTGAGCCGGAATCCAACGGTTTTGATGTTTAACCATGTACACCCTAGTGACAAGTTTTCTGAAGGAATTCTCGGATTTCCAGTGCGAAGCCGTGATCAGTGGAGCTAATCTGTGTCGGGTAGAGATATATATCTACCTTCGTACAATGAAGATGGTCGCGCAATTTTGTGGATTGGTTGAGGTTAGACATTAACACGGCTCAGTAGTCTAGAGCCTAAGTGTTCGCGTGTGAGACTAAAGGTTATGGGTTCGAATCTCGATAGCAGGATCGTGGATGCTCATGCTAGAACGAAACGGCCGTCCAGTACTTTCAGATTTCCAATGATGGTCTAGTTTTAATTCACTCATAGATTCAACTATTAAGTTATGATTGTATTTCGGGGATCTCTAGTATTTCTTTATTTCTTTAGAAATAGAATACATGAGTTATTTAGATACCTTTTCAAAAACACCCAAATCATAACAAAAACTGATAAAACCATCCGTGAAGATTGAAAAATCAGGTTGAAATCAATACCGAATCATAATGTAAATTCAGAGCATAGAGTTCAATAGAAATATTTGATATTCACGTAACAACTCCGAGCTAAATACTAAAGAATAAAAGTGATATCCTAATATGGAATATCCTGGTTAGCCAAATGTACGAACACTTCACTTCCACCTGAAATTTGTGTTGACGATATCGTTTAGAAGAATAATGAAAGCTCCATGATCAAACCATCCAGCTCAGAGAACTAAACTTCATTAAAATCATCCACCTGATCTACAACTCTTCTATACCATCTCAAAGTCAAATTCAAATATTCAATGTAGTGATTAAGTGCTCTCACGTGAAACCAGTAGTTCCTGGGTTCAAATCTCGCGAGGTGAGGTCGTGGATGTGTACTGATCAAAAGTCCCGTAATAGGACGAAACGGCTATTCAATACTTCCAAGTTTGCCGTGGTAGTGTCTAGTCTCAATTGACTCATGATCTCAACTATACAGTGTATGTTTATTGAAAAAAAACAAAACTAGTCAAGAAATCTAAACAAAAACAAAATTTTTATTTGCCTCCAAATGCCCTGGTACGTCCGAGAGAGGGGAGAGTCTGCTCTCTCTCTCTCTCCAAATGCTCTCACATGGTCACGCGTACATAGCCTCCGCTAAGGAAGTCCTATTCACTGCCTTCTCATACTACGGGTTTTGTTTACGAAATTGTGAAGATGAATAGCAAATTTCCAGCCCTTTAAACAGGTTGGTTGACACAAAGAGTCCACACAGGGAATCTAGAAAACCCTGATTTCAAACCAATAGTGCACATAGGCTCTAATATCCTGAAGGAACAAATCGTGTATGAACCAATCATTAGTCACCAACTATCTTTGGGACTGTATCTCCTTACGATGCTCCAATACCATATACATCAAACTTTTAGATCGAAGGCTCTGAGTGTGATCCGCCTTAAAAAAAACCCCACCTATTTCAGTTTGGACATCCAAACAATATCCTAGCTCTCACATAAATCCAATGAGATTTATGTGGCACATATCGATTCAGTACCTTCTATTGTATCAATATCTATGTGTTCAAATAATAATAATAATAATAATAATAATAATAATAATAATAATAATAATAATAATAATAATAAAACTAATAGAACAAATGAATGAAAACTTACAATTCACAATACGTATTACCCGCCATAAACGAAATAATACTAATAAACCAGCAGCATCAGCTATAGTTGTATGTAATGTTTGTTCTATATTCTCTATTGTATCATTAGGAGTACTAATTTTATTCAATTTTGTTTCTATAACATGTCGATGTATATTATAAGTATCTACGGTAAAACTTATAATACATACACATACATCTAATAATTCAATCCATTGATATTGATAAAATTTATAACCAAATGTCCATAATTTAATTGGAATTTCAATCAAAAATAATGATATTATTACATAACTTATACATTCAAATATAAATGATGTTAAATTAAGACGATATCGTAATGGGCATGGCTACAATATGATAATCGGAACAAAAGGAAGAGCGAGAGAGGGGGTGTGTGTGTGTGCGGGAGGAAAAGAAAAACCAAAAAAAAAATAAATGTGTTATGTAATATAATTTAAAACAAAACAAAAATTAAAATTGTTATATCTTGTGACCTGTATGCCCTGTTAATGTATAATATAATGATACTGTCAATTAGAGAGAAGTGAATTATCGATCGAACTAGTGACACATAAACCCATATGAGCAGTCTAAAATACACTTATCAATCCTCCTTTCTGCCTAGTTCAGCCAGTTAAGTCTAGAACACCAATCCGAACCTCTGCTATATGAATCATTTATTTCAAACATACTAGGTTTATCTACTAACCAGATAGACCACATCGTATCATAAAATAGGAAACAACATTTGTTCAAGATTTAGCCAAATGTGGCTGTGAATGTGGGTGGGTGGGGGACATTGACTAATAGAAAGGGCATAATTCAAGAATGGTAAATCGTATAATAATAGTTGATAGATCAAAATAAAGCTTATAATAATAGGGAAATGATTATGTATAATTTAGTTATTTAACAATTAGGCGATAGAAATATACGCATACTATTGGTTCATAAATGGATCCTAATAGTTACCATTCATTATGATTATCGGAACATAACAAGAATGAAGGAAATGTTATATCCTAGTGAAGATTAAATTACAGGTAATTCCTGAGGACTATTAATGAACTAATATTAATTATATATTCTTATGCTATAATTGTTCAGTAAGTAGATTATGTATATCTATATTCCCCTTGTTATAAGCTTTATTTTGATCTATAATTTATTATTGTACGATTTACTGTTCTTGAACTATGTTCAGTTTATTGACTACTGTCTCCCACGTTCACAGCCACTTTCTAGCTTTATTGTGTACGGTCTGTTTGTTTGATATATAAACCCAGTATGTTTGAAATATATGATTCGATTCGTCTTGATTCGCATAGTGGAAGCTGGTATTGGTGTTCTGGACTCAAGTGGACGGGCTAGGTGAACATGAGACCAATAAGGACGCCAGGTTGCTCATACCGGTCAAACATCATTGCTTTGGCACAGTGCTAAGATTGTATAAGTCGTATTTTGATTGGCGGATAAATCATGTGATAACAGGCGGCTCATAAAGACATAACAGGAAATATATAGTAGGTTTTAGGTTTGAATGTTTTATTTTTGTGTTTTTGTTATAGTTCAAGGGATTACAAGTTCACTTAGTCTATGAACGATACAAAGACTCTGTGATACAATGACCAATAAGCTAACTATTCTGATATGTTCCAGATCCGTCAACTAAAGAGAGAAAGAGAAAGAAGTACAAGTTCGAAATGGTGGAAATGTATTCCGCAAGTAGTCAGAAGTATGAGCAATCGCGACCTCCGTCTATTTGGACATACACTCAATTATATATTGGTTTGTACATCCACTTTTGACTAATAATCATAATCAATCAATTATCAGTATAGGAGTTTTGGAGATTATTAAGTTTTTGATTGAGATCATGAACCTCCACAACCGCTGTACTGATAATTAACATGTGCTCACTAGTGACTAGCTTCGTGAGGGAATTCTGCAAGTTCTAGTAAGAAACCGCGATAAATGGAGCTAATCCATGTTGGATAGAGACAAATATGTACCTCAGTACTATGGAAGATGGTCACGCAATGTCATGGATTGGTTAATGTTAGACACTAACACCATTGGATTGCCGCTCAGTGGTCCAGTAGGTTATTAGTTCGCGCGCGAGACAGAAGCTCCTGGGTTCGAACCCTGCGACCATGATCGCGGATCGAATTGCTGAGGAGTCCCACAGTAGGACGAAACGGTCGTCCATTTCTTCAAGGTTTTCAACAGTGGTGTAACATCAATCGGTTCATGATCTCAATCAAAAATAAATCACATAGATCAAAAATACTTCATACCAGAATATCCTATGTTATACAGAATATAATGTCACTTTAGGAAACAGACACAAATACTACACTGAGTAATATTAAAACTTGTTTGATTATATCTGGTGATTTATCTATTAGGAAATTCTGTTTTAGGCTTCTTCGACACTACGGCGTGCCTGAGAAAATAGTCAATATTATACGGAATTCCTATGATGAATTAAACTGTAAAATTTTGCATGGAGGACAGCTGATAGCTTCATTCGAAGTAAACACCGATGTCAGGTAAGGTGGCTTACTTTCATTCTTTCTCTTTCTCATAGTGATCGAGTGGATTATGAAGACTTCAACATATGGGGGGGGGAATGGGATACAATGGACAGCTAAGATACACTTGAACGACTTAGACTTTTCAAATGATCTGACTCTTTTATCTCACACATAACAACAAATGCAGGAGAAGACAACCTTGTCAAAATAGAAGAGGAAGACCAAAGATGAACACATTACGCCGAGAAATGGATACCGACATAGGAAGAATGAACAACAATTGGATAGTCAGTCAGTCAGTCAGTCAGTCAGTTACAACGTAGGATCAGGCACATATATGCATCAGTCCAAGTTGCCATACAGCATTAACACAACAAGATGAACACCAAATTCATAGAAGTAGTTAATTCAGTGGTGGTTATATATATAGAAGAAAGATCGCATATAAAGAGATAGTACAGGAAGAAAGAATTAGTTCGTAGAAAGAAACATATGAAGCGATTTTAATCTCTTAGTTTAAGGGGAGACAGAGAGTGTTACACCGAGACAATTGTGGTCGATTCTGAGTCATGTCACCCAGTCTCCAACCATTAGTTACGATAGTCACGCGGACCCCAACCAAATAGTCTGCATCTACTAACATTGTTCAACCTAGAAGTTAGTGACTTCAAGCATTGATGTTTGGTTTGGCCGCCCCTAACTTTCTTCCAATCATCCCTAACACCAGTGAGCATTGCGCGTTGTGGTAATCGGTGTTCAGGCATACGCAGCACGTGGCCCAACCATCTCAGTCGATGAAGATTCATAACCTCATCAACTGATTTACCATCATTCCCTAATACCCTACGTTTAACCTTTATTACTTACCCGGTGATCCCAGCAGATATCAGTAATATTTCTAAAGCATCTGTGGTCAAATACTAGTAACTTATGAGTTTCTTCAACTCTTAATAGCCATGTTTCGCTGCCATAATGTAAAACAGAACGAATTGTCATTTTTACAATTGGATTGAACTAAAAAGGAATGCCCAAGATAAAATGGATTGGAGAATACTAGTCGTTGGCCTATGTTCCACCATTAAAAGTAATAGGCGTAAGTAAGTATGTAAGTAGGCAAATAATGAAAATTTCATTCTCATACACATAAACTACAATCAACAACTAAAATTCATTATTTATTTATTTATTTTTCTTTTTTTTTTTTAAATTTTTTTTAATCTTTAACCTTCAATATAAAAAAAAGTTATTTAAATAAACCCTAAATATTTCGTGTTATCATTTCAATATTCAATAATAAACTGATGGATAGAAAAACAAATTCGTGCATTAAAATTTTATTCAATATTGACCTAAATTTTCAGCATTCAAATCGTGTGTGTGTGTGTGTGCGTGTGCGCAAGTGCGTGTTTCTCTTTTCTCATTGTTGCTGTTGTTGTTGTTGTCGTTGTTGTTGTTGTTGTTCTTGTTCCTATTATATTGAAGTTAATTAAAGATTAAAAACAGATTAGATAAATCTAGATGAAATAAATAAATGAGATAAAAAAAGAAAAGAGAAGAGAAAAGTAAAGTAAAGAAAAGAATCACAAAAATAATAAAGAAAAAACGAAAAGAAAAAAATAATTTTGACCGAAAAACTAATTAATTAGAAAAAATATTTTTTTTCCTGAATTCCTTCTTATTTTTTCTCATTTTCTTTTTGTATTACATCATCACCTTAATTTTATATTAAATAGAAAACGCTTTTAATATAAAGATTAATAATAATAATAATTTATTAGTACAAATACTACTTATTATTATTAGTAGTAGTAATCATAATTCATTATGACCACCATTATTATTATTATTATTATTATTACTGTTATTATTAGTATTATTATTACTATTATTATTAGTAGTAGTATTATTAGTATTATTATTATTATTATTATTATTATTATTATTATTAAGAATCACCTAGATATTTGAATAAATAACACAGATTGAATAAATGAAGGATGTTTCATTTATTGGAGATTATTTTTTCTTTTTTTTCTTTTTCTCTTAATCTGAGTTCATATGAATATTTAAGAGAGAAAAACAAAAAAAAAGGAAAAAAAGAAGAAAATTAAAAGTGAAGATTAAAAAAAAACACTGAAATAAAAACATTGGGGTTTTTTTAATAAATCTTAACTTATTTCATTTAAATAAGATTTTTATATATTTAAAATAGATAGATAATAATAAATTAATCATGGTTTCAGCAACATTAGGTCACAACATACACAAAGGGAAAAGCAAGATTCTCCGATACAACACAGCATGCAACAATCCAATCACAATAAACGGAGAAGGTTCAGAAGATGTAAAAACCTTTATATATTTGGGTAGCATCATTGATGAACACAGTGGATCTGATGCAGATATGAAGGCATGGATCGGTAAAGTAAGACCAGCATATTTACAACTAATGAACATCTGAAACTCAAAACATCTGTTGACCAACAACAAAGTCAGAACATTTCAATACAAATGTCAAGATAGTTCAACATTATGGCGCAGAAATTTGGAGAACTACGAAAGTTATCATCCAGAAGATACAATTGTTTATTAACTGTTGTCTACGCAAAACATACTTCAGATCTGTTGACCAGACACTATTAACAACAACCTACTATGGAAGAGGATAAACCAAATTCTAGAGGAGGAAGAAATCAAGAAGAAATGCGTCATATTGAGGAAATCACCGAACTGCATCACAAGACAAGCCCTCACTTGAAATCTTCAAGGTCAAAGAACATATTATACTGATATATGGTGACAGACAAATATGAGAAGAATAAACAACAATTGGATAGAACTAAAAAGAAAGGCCGAGGATTTCACTAATTTCATCTTACTTTACTAGTATGACGTAATAATCTAGACCGATTTATATTTGTGTTAACTTCCATACTGATGATGAACAGTGGAATTGTTTATTTCATTGTATAACCGATATTTAAACGTTACATTGTATATCACTATTATTTCAGTGGCATTTAACTAAACAAATATCTTATATGATAAGTGATACTTTAGGCAAATCACATATAAGACAAATGATTAGTGAAGGCTTACTTACGTGCATACATTATTAATCAAGATTTGACGATATTTTCTAAATAGAAACACTTACATTGTTGATCTAAATTAAAGAACCCCTTTTTCTAAGATACATATCTGTGTTTATCGATATCGATTCGTGGAAGGCTCGTGGAAGTTTCCTACTTACATTTGGTTCTTTTCCAATCAAACATCAGGCTCACACATATACAGATAGGAAACCTATATATCGTGTATTGGATTAGGATCATCACACAACATAAAAAATAAGTAATGTTGATTACAATGAGGATCTTAATGTTAATGTTTAATGTTTCAATACAAGAAATGAATTACCAACTTAAAAATCCTAAAAATGTCAAACTAAATTGTTCGTTGTTTTAAATGATGTAATTTTATTTCAAAAATTTGAATTCCTCATTTTCGCGCCAAAAGCGCTCCAATTGTTTGTTACCTCTTTTAATATGCTATTTTGTGATGTTTCTTAAGCACCTTATTATGCTCTATATATCTGTTTGCTTTGTTAGTGCTTCTAGCTGATTATGGAATATACCTTTGCCTTATCTGAATATGGTCTTCTTCTTTTAGGTAGTAGGGTTGGGATGCATCGAAATAGGTTAGCTTGTCTTGTTGTTATGTCATTGATTCTTCGTTTCGTCCGCAGATTTAGGCAATTTCGTAATCTTTTCAAGTATAGCACCAACTCACTTTCGCAATATTAAAAATGCAATACAAAACAAAGTATTAAAATTATTAAGATCATGATCTTTGATGGTCAATGAAAACTACGAAGCACTGGACTAGCCATTTGTTCTATTGTAACGCTCCACAGAATTACCCATTCAGTACTTCATCACAATAAATCGATTACAGAACCTTCGATCTGATGGCGAATCAATAACCTTCATACAACTGAGAAGGAATACTATGATGTATATGTCTAACTTTAATCAATTCACGATACTGTTAAACTATATTCGATTAACTTCAGTGTGTAATTGCTTCACATCCCAACATGACTAAACTCTACTTGTTATAACATCTTACTCAATTGGTTCATGTTCTCAATAACATTTAACAATCTTAGTAAATCTCCATAATGATAGTACAATTTAATTATAATGATAACTTACCTTTAATTTTAATGATTCAATTTCTAATAGAAGCATACATATAACAAGTATACCATCTAATGCGCATAATACAACAATAATCATATGAAATAATTTACAATCTAATATTCTACTAAATAATAATTTATATTTTTTAGTACAACTCTGTGTTGTACTGATAGTTTCAATTGGGGTCATCGCTGTTGGTGGTGGTGATGGTGGTGATGATGATGGTGATAATGATGGTGTTGGTGTCGGTGTTGGTGTTAATGTAGTTCCAGTTGGGATTTCAATGATCTCATTCACAGGTAGTAATAAACCATTTGTAATATCAGATTGACATGGATTTGATTCTGTACTAATTTGTCTATGTTTATGTTTCATGGTGTTTTTTGTAGAGAAAGTTCTGAGAGAAAAGAAAATAATGAAAAACAAAACAGTATTGAAATTGGCCAAAAAAAGAAAAGTGAATTAGCTATGCGAATAAGTGTAAATATTCTATGGATAGATGTATGTATATACATAAGATAGAGTGTGTGTGTGTGTGTGCGCGTGTAACCATTGTATATATTCAGTTTGGATTATGGATAACGTTTGTTTCCTAATTGAATATCTAGGCTACCTGTTCATGCCATCTAGATATTTCAACAAGTTATCTAAATTTATCAGAAGGGGGTTTGTGGAGATTTTAGAAATTTCACTAGTTGAAATTGTTATATCCGAGTGAAGATTAAGTCACGAGTAACTTCTGAGAACTGTTAATGGATTAATATTATCTATATATTCTTACGGTGTAATTATTTAATAGTTAGATTATGTATATTTATATTCCCCTTATCATAAGCTTCATTTTGACCTATAATTTATCATTGTACGATTTACTGTCCCTAAATTATGCTCAGTTTATTAATTACTGTCTCCCACATTCACAGCCACTTTTTGGCCTATTTGTGTACACATGTTAGTTTCTATTTTATGGTACGTTGTGGTCTGCCTGATTGATATATAAACCGAATATGTCTGAAATAAATGATTTGGTTCGATTTGGTTGATTCGGAATCTGGTATTGTGTTCTGGACTCAAGAGGACGGGTTAGAAGGACGTAGGACCCAATAGGACGCTAGACTGCTCAGACCGGTTGAACGTCATTGGCCTTGTCATAGTGCGAATATTCGTATAAGCCGTATTCTGATTGGTGTATAAGTCAAGTGATCGTAAGCCGGACATCAAGTCATAACATAAATCATGAGTCAATTAAAGTTAGAAAACCAAGGAAAATCTGGAGGAACTGGACTGCTGTTTCGTTTTATTGTGGAACTCCTCAACAGTGTACATTCACTAATCCGTCCCTTCATGCGAGATTCGAACCTAGGACCTATCAGCCTTGCGCGCGAGCGTCTAACCATTAGATCACTGAGCTAGCATTCAACGGTATTAATGTTTAATTTCAATCCATCCACGAAATAATAATAATAAAATCCGCATTATAATTATAATAATATTAATAATTGGGAAGATGAATTACCCTTAAGATAAGAATGGGTAGTTTAGAAGAGTGATAATTAAAGTTTTATCCATTGAATAGATGAATAGTAATATATCATTCGATCAAGTGATTGTTTCTATAGTTATACAGTGTATGAGCTTGAACATCTTTACACCTTAGACTAACTATGTAAACAACGTTAAATGTAGATCGTGGATGCGCACTGCTGAGGAGTCCCATACTAGGATGAAACGGCCGTCCAGTGCTTCCAGGTTTTCCATGGTGGTCTAGCTTCAATGGATTCATGATTTCAACCAGTGAAATAAATAAGTCTCTGTTAATACTAAATAGTGAATTTAGATATTATATTCCATCAACAATTAACCAAACCTAACACTTCAATCAAAGTGTCTTATTATACCTAAACTGTAGATCAAGTACTATTTCTTAGAATATTCTATCGAAATTCCTGAAAGCAGTAAAAAAAAATCAATACAGAGATTTGTGGACCATTTTTGTTTTACACAAACTAATGTTATCTTCAGAACGACTGAATAAATAGATACATTGAAAAAGTACACTCAATAAAATCAAACCCAGGAACTTAGACAATCCATACCTAGGTTGAAACAACTATTTGAATATTCATAATTTTGGTAAATCTTCTATAAATACTAAATAATGATATAAATTATCTTAAAAGTAAATGAATTTTTCAATGAAGTATCAAATACTATTCACTATATGGATCCATAAGTAAATAGTTTATCATGTTTTAGTGCGTGGGTTGCGATACTGCCCGGGTGCCCAGACCGAAGTAGGTTGCCTTCTTAGGGGGCCACACCCCGAGCCTTTGATCTAAAGGTCTAGTCTACAAGGCAGTGGAGTATCGTGAGGAGATGCAGTCCCATGGAAGCTGGTGACCAAAAATTGGTTCATACACCATTTGTTCCTTCAGGACACTGGAGCCCATGTGCACCATTGGTTTGTGATCCGGTTAAAGCGCCGGACATTCGCTTTTCGTCCTCTCATTTTCGTAAATAACACCCCCACCATGAGAAGGCAATGAGTAGGACTTTCTTGGCAGAGGCTGTATACGCGTGGCCATGTGAGAGTATTTCGAGAGGGAGGGTGAACCCACCCCACTCCCGATCATACCAGGGCATTTGGGGGCAAATAAATATAATAAATAAATAAATGGATACATATAATGATTGACTTTTAGAAAAGGTTTCCTGGACATCTAATGAAACATCATGATTATTAAGACTAAATAAGTTGAGATGAATGATCGTATTGCCTTTATCAACTGTATTAGGATTTAATTTGGTGGTTTGGTGGTATCCTTGAATGACTTCTATAATATGTTAAAGTATTCATCCTATCGATTACAAAATACATCATTGATTTATAAAATAATCAATTAAATCTTGTCAATTCTGTTCATTGAAATCATTCAAAGAATAAATCCAAATGTTCTAATGAATTCAACATTATTATTTATCTATGAAAAATCAAAATTTCTGACTTGGCTCTATAGTTCAACAATCAACTAAGACTTCATTTTGGAGATGTACTCAACTATCCATCATATATATTTCATTGTTCTCATCATTACTTGATTGACAAGGAAGTAAACAGCAACTCAATACCTATTATTGATTTTTGTACTAATATAATGAACAAAACGCAGCCAGGGAACAATCTTTAATAAAATCTAACAATCATATATAGTAAATGCTTAATTTGTAAAAAGGTCCATTGATTGTCTCAAAATCACTCAGACTTCATTTGTTCTTGCATTTTCATACAAATTGCATTCTGTTCCCATTTGTTTACTGTTTGATCTTCTTGTCTCTTTGCTGCCAGACATTTTGTTCATGATTAACATCATATACTACTTAGATTGATATAAGTAGCATACACCCCCCCAATGCTAGTAAATGAATAATGTTAATTTATACAAATTTTTACATGAAAGCGGTGTTTTTATTGTTGGTTTAAGTTACTTTTAAGATATTTCAATTCTAGATAATTATCCATAGATAAATTTACTGAATAGTGATTTAACAAATGTTGATATAAATTAAAAATTGTAAGCAAGATGGTTCAAAGAATAATACTCTATTGAAATCATTCACCTGATCTGTAAATCATCTCTACCATTATTATGATTTGTAAATTCTATATCATTTACACTATCAACTTGAAGTTCCAAGATTTTAAACAATTAAGTCTGTTAGCAGAACATAGATTAGATTAAAGTCTATTCAATGCATGATTGCGTTTGATGCATACTGATTGGCTAATACTTATCCAATCAGCGCTAGTTGATACTTGAAGAATACTCTAGAAATCTTCTCATATCAAAACACTAACATTTTACTTATTGTGCTTCTTACTTCCATCTAACCTTGTTATTTGGAATAATAATCTCTTTCCTGTTTAACCGTGTTCTGATTTCGGGACATGTCGAATGAATTGGTGTCCGTGAATACTAAGCAATAGGAATAGCTGAGTTGAAATAATAGAAAGAGTTATAACAAAGTCTATTGGAAATCAATAAATTTTAAATTAGTTTCTAAGTGAGATAATTAGTAAAACAGAATCTTTATCTATTCAGATGATTAGTCTCAAATGGCAGAAAAATCATGAACTATTATCTATATATATACACATTGATTAGTTTATTGGTAACGTTACTGAACCTACTGTGGCATGTGCTACTTATGTAGACATAAGTAGTATATGACGTAAGTATTGAACAGAATGTATGGCAGTAGAGAGATAAGAAGATTGAACAATAAAGAATGAAGAAAGAATACAATTTGTATGAAAATGCAAGAACAAAGGGATTCTGAGTCATTTGAGACACTATACATATTCATATTCCTCTTATTATAGGCTTTATTTTGACCCATAAACTATTATTATACGTTTTATCATTTTTGAGTAATGCCCAGTATATTAATTAATACCTCCCTCATTCACAGTTACATCTAGCTAATTCTTGTACAAATGTTGTTTCATATTTTATTGGTACGTTGTGGTCTGTTTGATTGGTATATAAACCGTGTATGTTTAAAATATGATGATTCATATCGCAGAGACTCGGAATGGTGTTCTGAACTTAACTGACTAGGCTAGACAGGAAGTGAGTCTAATCAACACTCTAGGCTGCTCGTATGGGTTTTACGCGTCATTGATTCGATCGATAATTCACTGCTCTCTAATCGGCGGTCACAAGTTATAACACTTACTTGTATGATTTGTTTAGGTTAAAAAGAAGCCTTAGTAAAATGGGTTCGAACGTCATCAAGAGTATCATTTGCTCATAGATTATAAATATATTCTCCTGATAAATGACAACTAGCACGAAAGTTTAGTTAACCAACATTTTCTTTTTATCAAGTTTAACCACTAATAAATAAGCAAAATGTGTATGTATCTATAGTAACCTAAGTGAAATCAGTTTTGAAAGTCATACCATTTGTTCTAGGAGGTATATAAACTAGTACCTATTATCAAACAGAAATTTTTTTCTAATCCTTAAAAACAAAACATAATTAATCACTATTGCAATAGTTGAGATCATGATTCAATTGAAGTTAAACCATTATAAAAAATCTAAAATCACTAGATGGCCGTTTCGTCCCATTGTGGGACTACTCAGTAGTGCGCATTTACCACCCCCACCTCGTGAGATTCGAACCCAGAACCTACTGGTCTCACGAATGAGTTCTTAACCACTCATGATCTTAACTATTGAAATTACTACAATCTCCACAAAACTCCTTTTGATACTAATCACTATTAGACACCTAGCGTAATACAAAAAGTAAATTAAAATTACAAATTAAGTCGTTGAATAAATAAAAATATCATTGGATTAAATTGAATGATAGAGTTCAAAAGAACACAGAATCCCTTGAATTTATTCAGTTGATTTAAGTTTATACATATAGTTGTAAACAAAATTGATCATTTGTTTTTAGAAATTATGCATAGTAACAAAAGATACAGGTGTTTATTAACAGTTGTCTATGCAAAATACTTCAGATCC